CTAAGAAAGTAGTCGAAGCCACTGTCAGCAGTGTGGCTGACGACTGTAGTGACCGCCAAAAAGAAAAAAGCCATATTTAAACGCTTCTGTATTCTCGTATTCTCCAGAACTGAACTGCCCTATTTGACCGAACAATTTAAACAAAAAAAAAACGACCTCTTCCTTCCACAAAAAAAATTCTTTTAAACTGAAATTAATATCTGAAACTTCCTACTCAAAGAAAATTTCAAATCTTAGTAACTCTGGAAGACCAGTTGAACATTAATTAGCAAATCATGTAAAAATATTAGATGTAAATTCATGTTTGCAGAACAAAATCAATACCCATCATTTGCCGAATTAACCTGACCATAAATAATCAGTACCACGGCATCATTGTTTATTTTCCCAAACAAGCGACCCTCCACTGTGCGAAAAGTAAACCGGCCACTCTTCAAACTGTCATTTACTTCTAAACTCTGCATATTTCCCAAAACAGTTGCAATTATAAGCTTAACAAAAAAAATAATATCCGGATAATTACCACGAATGCCCCCGAGATCAGTTACCCGTAATCCGTTTTTTACAAAACGAACTCAACAACACAGGCAAAACTCTTCGATGCTGTTGAAGACGATAAAGCGTTTTAGGAGCAAATAAAAAAATCTACGATTGTAGGTGAAATATGAATTAAATGTGATAAACGAGAGAATGATGCTACTAACAAAATTACGTACACCTCATACATAAGCTCTCAAAATATAGGTAATCTTCCATAAATATAAGAGATGCGACTGAAATCTTTAATTATCTCAAAACAAAGCATTAGTTTGGAGATTCACATCCTACCAAAACTTTTAAAATGTAATTCTTGTCACGACAACTGAAGAACATTTGCACCACAATAAAATTTTGGAAACTTCTGCCCAAACTTTCAAACCCTACCGTTTCCAAAAAAAAAAGCAAGTCGTAAATGCAAAAGAATAATAGACAGACTGCATGTATTACAATTTTGTAATGACTTCTACACTTTGATATCAACTTATCAGAAGGCATTAACAAATTAAGAGACGTTTACTAAAAGTTAACTGCTGGATAATACAATTAAATTTCCTGACAAAGACAAACCAACAGTTTTCCCAAGAATTAAAAAGTCGCAAGAACGAAGATCTAGTGATTACAATTTATAAACAAAAGCCACCTACACTAATCTACTTAAACACCCTTAATTTCATATATTCGATGTATTCCAATGCCCTTAAAGACCCTTCATAACAACATGACTCCAACAAACTACAGAAAATTTCTCAAAGCAAGCACGGCACTGTAAAAATAATTAAAAATCTTCTTATCTTCTTATGATATCTTAAAAAACGAACTTTTAGGGCTCAATCACTACTAGTCCTAACTTCATTAAAATAAAACAGCTACAGTGACCCTCCACACTAAAGTTAACATACCAAAAAACATGACAATTCCCATCCAACTGCTCCCCAGTTTCTGTTTCTAAAGTAAAACAAGGTGAAAACATTGAATTTATTCACCCATTTTATCTTTGAAAACTGGATTTTAAACTCACGAGTTTTTTGCTCCTGTTGATACCTTTTGTCCAAATGGTTTTTGAAATTTTCTGCCTCATCACGGCTCGAAAAGTTCAATCCAAAAACGTATTCATCCCCTTCAAAGTATAGCAGGTTGGGGCATACAGTCGAAAAGATTTGAAAATTTTTGTACCTATAATAAAGTAGATGAAACTACAATCTACACAAGTCTTAAATAATTAAATCACATTTTTCGAAAACAAATGCAAGGTGAAAAGTTGAAAAATTCATCAAATCTTAGCCTAGCTCTTTCAGTACTTTAAAGTAAAACAATAAAAAACACTACTGTCCCCAATAAAATACTATATTTTTCTGTCACAGTACTAGAACTGAATGCTGGAAAACTAAATAAAGTATCTCTGCAGAACTCACCAAGTATCAGTAAATTGCATCATTTTATTTAGTTTTGGTTTTTACAGTCAATATCATTAGGTTAATTCTATTTCGATTGCTCTTTCACTCCCTGCCCGTTATATATA